GGGTAGCTATCTGAGATTGAGGACAAGCTTTTGCTATCTGTAGCTGACTGTGCAGCAGGCATCCTGTTTATTAGTTCTTTAACTAGATGCATTGAAGTTTTTGAGTCAATTGCAGCTATTATTAGTGACATAACTGCTGCTAAAGTGAAAAGAGAGAGAATCCTCCATTTTTATGAAGGGAGAGTAGGTAGAGGAAGTGACATCATCACATGACGCATGACCAACCTCCTCTGATCTGACTCAGCAGAGCTCTAATATCTATGTAGAAATCTTCACCCACACAAGTACCACACCCCTTGGTTGGCAGAAAGCTACATCGAAGGAATGGAGACATAGGGGAAAATTCCAAAAATAAGAAGGAAAGAAGTTGCTTATAGTAGCAAAGAGGCTCCTCACTGATTCATAGCAAAAGTAGCAGCTCTAACTTCAAGCATAGATGTAAAAACAACTGTGCATTTGCTTTTTTATGCTTTCTACTATTTGTTTGTACTGCATTCTGCCAACCAGGGGAGTGGCTTTAGTCAGGCTCCACCTTAGCTAATGTAGCTTCGGGCCTTTGATCTGAAGGTGAGAGGTAACGCGCTGGTTATATTGTATAAAAGTTCAAAGCATTATAGGATGGAATTTGGGGTAGCCATTTTTAATGTTTTTATTTACTTGCGTAATAGATTTTTGCATGATGATAACAATTAATTTATTTGTACTTTAAAATTAACACGAGACACCGTTGGTGCATAGGCCTCGCCAAAACAAAGATAATCATAATTTGTTTTACACATACGATTTTAAAACTATATTTTGTCCTGCATATTACCACTGAATTAAAAGTAACTTGCTTAGATAGTGTTCACTGTTAGCTATAGTTTTGATTGAATTCTTCATAGTCTAATTAAAATTTGAGGGTGTTTGGGTGTGGCTGCAAACTGACAGCATGTTGGCTTTGGCGGATTATGCCAGCACAATTTTGAGCATAATAGAGCCCAAAAGCATGAGCATAATGTGAGCATAATAGGGCTATGATAGAAAATTTTGAAAAAATTTATTGAGAATTGCAATAAAAAGGCCCTTGCACTCAATAAATTAACTGTTTTTAAACAGCTACTATTGCTCACAATACTCAAGGACTTATAATGAAATTCATGGGCATAATTGGGAGCATAATGGCTGGTTGATAGAGCATAAGCTGTTTCCTGAGAATTGCAGCATAGCATAATAGAGCAATTTTAGAGCATAATCCGCCAAACCCTAACAGCATGGCAGTTGTTACAGTACAGAGAAAGTGTCAAATCTTGATTGCTAGAGAGTAAAATGGTGTCATTTATCTTCTTGATTATTGTAGGCTGATTCGGGTGATGTTAGGCTTGAAACAGCTGAGAGTCAGATAAAATTACAGAAGACCAAGTAAATTTGAAATAAGTGCATGCAATATGTAATTACTGTTGTTATTATGTACCTGAACTTCCTGAAGGAGATACATGTAATTATTAGCGATCTTCATGATACTGACATTTGGCTGGTATTTAATTTAGCGTTTTTGATCATTTAATATTAATAACTATTAATAATTCAATCAGAAATTAAAGTTAGTGATTTTTTAAAAACCGCTAAAATTTGCTATATTAAATACCCACTAACAATTGTCTCCTTAAGGTACATTGTATATAAAGAGTATTGCCCATAATTTGACACTTATGCTATCAAGCATATAAATGTTCCTGAGATTGTTTCACCACCTTGCATATGCATAGCTGGGTTCCATTTAAGGTTCAAAAAGGTTCTGTCTACCTTCTAATGCTTCTAGGAAAGTCTTTTGGGGTGTGTTTTGATGCATGTATCTATGCTACATGTACTGTACGTAAAAATTTTCAAGTGTTTCCGACAAAATTTTTTGAGTTGTTGTCATTTAAAAAATGGCCAATTTGTGAAAAAAGCAAATGCTATTATAGCCAATGATTTTTAGTCCGAAAAAAATTTGTTTGAAATCACCCCAAAATGCCCCAGTTTCAACTCCTACTCTGTGTCGTTGCTCATTCATTCTTATTTATCCCACAGACATGAACTGGAAACTGCTGCCTTGGAGGAGACCATTAAAGAAAAGGACTGCGAAATCTGTGTATTACAAGAGAAATTCGAAACTTTAGAAAGAGAACTAGACAAAAGCAAACATGAAGTTTGTAACATGTATCATGATAATATAAGCTCTCTCATATTGTTCTTATGCATACACTTGTAGCTATTGCTACTCAAAGAAGACAAAAAACAACTGCAAGGTAATGTATCATACACTCCCTCAATCATTAGCACAATGTGCATATTATGTACAGTACAGTATATAGATATGACATGTATTCATATCTTTCCTGTGAATGACGTTTCCGATTTATAATGATATTTATTGGGATACCGTAAATAAAAAATTTTCAGGCCGCCATTGTGGAAGTATTGCTGCACTGTTTCCAATGGAGCTTGATGCACTTTCTGTCGTTTTGTAAGAAGAGCAAGCAGTTATAGTCTCAAAAGTAAAAAATTGCAACCTTTATCTTTCATTTCGGTAGTCTGCAACTGTTTAGAGCCACTGGAGTGACGTGGAGAAGTAGAATTGACAGTTTTTAACCTGTCGATCCATTGTAGCTAATGATAGTATACCTCCACAATGGCGGCCTGAAAAATTTTCCTTTTACGGTATCCCAATGAATATCATTATAAATTGGCAACATCATTCACAAGAAAGATACTGTATAGCTTGAAATTTTCGTGGGTTGATATTTTTGTGGTTTGCTCCTAGTGGGGCAATTCGTGGTTTAAATTTCGTGGTTGACAGTTTACATAGCCTGTAAAGGGATGGCACTTCAATGATTTTGTGGGCCGCCTAGAACCACGAAAACCACAAAATTTATATTCCACGAAAATTTCAAGCTATACGGTATGAATATGCATGACACTGAGTGTATGTCATCTTGGTTTGTTTCTTAATTTAGACGATCTCAAGGAAGCTAATAAGAAAATCGAAGAAAATACTCAAATCTTTTACCATTTGCATGATTTAATTCATAAAATTTCTAGCAAAAAAAGTTAATTTTTGTGCTCTTAAGCCCCTCGCATAAGCGGATCTAGGCCCGGGTAGATTTTACTCAAGACCACACCTAAAGGTGTGGATTAGTTATTAGTATGGGTTGGGTTTTTAGTTATTATTGAAGTATTGTTATTATAATTAATTACATTCAAAGTTCAAACCACAAGCCACAGCCACTTGCCACAACAATGCAGTAGCTTCCACCTCAGTATATTTAATGCATGCATCATTCATTAATCTGCTAAGACTAGATAGCAAGTTATCATGTCTAAAAGGCACCAAACCCAGACTTCTTTAATGCAATTTGTTTCAAAAAGAAGCAAAACAGCAGATGATAGAAATGAGTCTGATACAGCTGCAGTTCAGAATGTAGCAACGGCCTGTACTCAATCTAGCACAGGTAAGCTGATTGTTTTACTAAGAACTAGTTTAAATAGATATTGAAAGTAGTGAAAGTACAGAGCAGGTCATGCAGTTTGACGAGAGAGTGAGTATGGTAGTTCAGGAGCTGAACAACACCTTCCAAATGATATAGCACAGCACAAGTCTGACTCTCCTCATCAACCATCAGGAATTAAGTTTCCAGCTCGAATGTTTGGGTCAACAAAAAGAAGCTTCCAAGCGAGCTGGTATACTGATTACTCTTGGCTTGAGTATTCTATTGAGAGAGATGCAGTATATTGCTTTCCCTGTCGCTTCTTTGGGATAGCAGCTGATCAGTCTCTAACTCGTGTAGGCTTTAGTGACTGGAAGCATGCCAGAGGCAAGAGGGCACATTAACATATCATGATACCTCCTGCTCCAAACATCATCTGGCTGTACTATCATGGAAGGAATACCAGTCTACAGTTGCCAATAATAGTTCAGTAGCAGTTCAGCTAGATAGATCTAGGCTTCAAATGATAGAGGAGAATAGATTATTATGTAAAAATAATCTTTGCAGCAATTTTATTCTGTTGCCAACAAGGGATAGCACTCAGAGGCCACAGAGAAGTGATA